AGTTGCTTCCCGTTTCCTAGCGCCGCGAGAACACATACGCAATATGCAAGCCTGCCGTTGCAAAATTAAACGCATTTCAGTTATTCAATCCAGTCCTGCACGATGAATGGATGTATGGATGGCGAATCGACTACAAAGGTCATTTTGCACCCAGGAGCATGCCAGCCCCGTTGTTTAGCATAATTCACAACTAGGTGACGGCTCAACTCCGCAGAGGCCTTGGCACAGAACATCACCGGTAGTTCAGCTTCAAGCATCAGTCACCACCTGCACCGCTTCCTGGACAGCCCTCCGAACGAAAAATACCACTGCAGCCAGGAGGGCACAACTGGCCGTTAAATCTTCCAGCAAGAGGCGGGCGGCGAAATTCCGCCAGCACACCTTTCTCTCGCTCTCGCGCTCTCCCGCTCCGATACCACAATGGACCGCGTCTCGCTGGCAGGGAACCGCCTGCGGGTGCCCGGCTTTGCGCTGCTGATTCCATTAGCAGTCCGTGACAGCTGTTCCGAGCGTAACGCATGGCCGTCGTCGGCTCGCCCGGCCTGTGTGTCTCCGGGTCAGAGGGCGCCCCGGCCCAGCCTGGGGGTCCCCGGGCTCCGTGCGGGATCACGGGCCGGCGCCAGCCGGGCCCACACCGGTTGCCGAGAGCACGCCAACGCGCTCGGCGGGTGCCTGAGCAGTAAACCAGGCCGAACGGTGGAGCAGGCATTCAATGGATCTGGTCTACAAGAGCAGTGCGCCTAGAACGAACGGACAGTTCTGATTCAAAAACGCATACTTTGAACATTAACAAAAAGAAAGCCTGAAATATGATAGCGTTGGCGCCCTGTTTTCAGCCACACTGCTACACAAGAAGATAGTGACAATACCAAAAATGCTTTTGTTTGATAGGCTCAATCCATTAAAGGCAATGTTCAACATTTGAAGAAACGGAAGCATCCGATATGATGAAATAAACTCACTTATAAATATTGGCATACCTTTAAGTGAAGACATTTACCTTGACTACAAAATTTCTCTTTCAAAAAGATGTGTTTTTCAATCCGTCACTTTGATTACGTCACGGAACGTTTGCATGACAATGAGGTGCAGCCGCACAAGCCGTGAGAAATCGCCGCCAAAGCACTCAATGGTAGTAGTTCAGAGAGGTGGCCTTGGAGGTGCTGGAGGCGTTTGTTGAGCTAAATAGCACCATATGCTCGAGTTTGCCCCTATCCGTTATGCTCTCGCATATTTAGCCTTGAGTCTAAGGTGTTCACTTGTAATCACATAGTCTGTTGTGGCGCTTTTCTTAAGATATGCGATTAAAAGTCTTATTTCCGTTATAACCAGCACCCACATTCAGCTTCTCATATCGTGTTAGCACAAAAAGTGGTTCATGGGAAAACAGCACATCCGAAACCTTCATAATTCCTCTACCATCGCTTCCTCCTGGCAATCCGCGCGAACACCACCACTTAGATCCGGGCAGGCTGCTTGTGTCAGCCACAAGGGAGCAGGCCAGCCCCGTTGGTAAATGGGGACCCCCGGCCGGGTACCACCCAGCGCACATCGCCGGTGTTAGAGGTCGGTGGTTGACCCTCCCTCCCCCAAGGCGCATGCAAAGCTGCTTCCCGCCGTTAACCATTGTCTTTCAATGCCCATAAAGCCCTAAAATGGTCATTTCTGGCCGAAAGGGCTCTCTCTGTTCCAAGCAACCAAACAACCGAATCGTGGTAAGCCCCTGAACAAACTGCACAACGTTGGTTGACAGCCAAGTGATGTAAACCGTATCTGGAAATCGTGCTCACGAGCGCCAGATATAAACGGCTCGGCGATCATATTCTCTCGGCCGTAAACGCCGCATGGCCGATAGGGTGCCTGCATTTAGGTGACGTTTGTATGGCGTCGTGCATGCCTGAATGGCCTTGAAGCAGTCTGCGCGTCTTCGCGGGAGTGTATCTCAGAAACTAGAGGGCTTTATGTCTTAAGAAGAGCAGGGCTGTGAACTGCTCTCAGTGATCTTCAAAACGATTATTTCCGTTAAAATCCCCATGCAAATGTAAAACACTCCATTAACGTTGCCTTCATAACCTCCGCCCCTTAATATGCTGACGTGCTCCACACGACAAACTAGTTGTGAATCGTGGCTATGAATTGCTCGGCTGCCACGTTCGCACCAAAACGGGCCATGCGCTACACACTGAGGAAATGATGCTCATTTACATCAAAGACTCCTAAATCGTAGAAAAATAGCCTCACATCACAGTATGAAGCCACTTGTTTATCAGACTTTATGTCAGTTTAACAACTGACTTGTTTATGAGACGCATTTTCGCGACAAATATGTCACTCGTTATCACTCCGAGCTTCGTATTCGAGGTGCTGTTTACAATTGCAGACCTTTCACTCACCATCTGGGCCCGATCAACCGACCCTCCCCCTCGCCCTCCCCAACCCCCGCATCCCATACACACCGTCCTTACAGAGGGTCCAAGGTGACACAAGCCAGAACTACTACAAATTAGACACCTTCTAGCCTGCTAGCGTCCTCACGGCCCACCTCAACTTGCACTGATTCCTGGCACGGACAGTCCTCGCCATGCCTTAGTACATATGCACACGTCCGATGCAACGCTTCCTGCCGTGCCGTGCTGAGCTGAGCTCAGCTGAGCTCAGCTGCATTGTGGCGTGATCTCTGTGTCGCAGAGTGTGGTGTAGCGTGGTGTGGTGTGGCGTGGTGTGGTGAGGTGTGGTGCGGTGCGATGTGCCGCGGTGCGGAGCAGTGCGGTGCAGTGCAGTGCGGTGCGGCGCGGTGCGGTGCGGTGCGGTGCGGTGTGGTGCGGTGCGATGTGCCGCGGTGCGGAACAGTGCGGTGCAGTGCAGTGTGCGGTGGCGGCGCGGTGCGGTGCGGTGCGGTGCGGTGCGGTACGGTGCGCCGTGCCGTGCCGTGCCGTGCCGTGCCGTGCCGTGCCGTGCCGTGCCGTGCCGTGCCGTGCCGTGCCGTGCCGCATCAGCGGCGGCGGTGCGCACTGTCTCGGCAAGGCGCGGCCGGCCAGAGCGGAGCGTCCCACCCCGACTCACCTTCACGTACCGTGCCCGTCCGTCGGCATGAAGTTCTCGTAGATGTAGCTGCCGGTGCGCCTCAGCCGCGACTCGGGCGAGTACAACGCTGGAGCGGCTGCCGATCTGGAACGGCCGAGCCCGCGTCAGCAACACCGCGGCCGATCGTGTCAGGGCCGAGGGGCTCGTCAGCGAGGCAGGCCACACTCCACAAATGAGCGAACATCCGTACATATGTCTGGCCTGTCGTCTGGAACAGGAAGCCATCGGCACACATGCATGTCCATTACTAGCGCGTCCTTAGCGGCAATGCAGCTTTGGACGCCAACAGCACTGCGGCAATTGGCGCGGACGGGCCGGTCAGCTGGCGCCGACCGAGCCCTGTCCAGCTGCTCCCGTCGGCGGGCGCAGGCGGACAAACACGCCGACGCCACCGTAAACACCGCGCACGGCAACAACGTCCAGGGCACAGGTGCGCCTCCCACACAACATCCATGGACATCCAGACAAAGCCGAGCAACACGGGCGGCTCCCCCCCCCCCCCCCCTCTTCCCGGAATATGTGGAAAGTTCCACTCGTGGCCGCCGGGCGGATTCGACGCGCCGCTCGGCCCGGGCCAGAGTCAGGCGGGCGGGAAGGGTAGCCCGAGGAGGAGGTGGGCGGTCGATGGGGCCTCGCCAGGCGCGACAACCCGACTCGGCCTCGGTTCCGGGACACGTGGGCCGCGCACCGGTTTCGTGTCGCCGGGCCGAGGCCTTGACGGCCCGGCTGGCACCAGGGCGGGGTAAGCCAGGTCCGGCCCAATCTGCGCAGTCCACTCCCCCCCCCCCCCCCCCCTCCTCCCCTGTCAGCTGCAGCTCGGCAGTGTCAACAGAGGGCTCCGCAGCGGCCGCTGCTGTCACCCCGCCCCCCCCCCCCCCGCCGCATGGACAGAATGACGTCACCAGCGGACGGAGTGACGTCACCAGCTAGCAACGCACGCCAGCTGCCCGGCCGGCGGCCATGACGCGAGGTTTACAAACAGGGCGCTGAGCAGCAACGGAAGGCGAGCCCGCAGCGCCAGCCGCCCGGCCACGGGCATTGGCATGGGCCGCCGCCAGACTCACGCCATGAACATTTTAGCGCATGCGGCCGGAGCTGCGCTCGCGCTGGGCGCGCGTCCGACGCCGTCCGGCCGCGCGCCTCGGCGGACTCGACTGCCGGCTCGGCAGCCCGGCGCCCGCCGCGGCTCCGCTGACGGGAGGTCCGCAGCAACGCACGCTCATCACCGTCAGCTCCAGGGCACCGGGATGCTCCAGGGACGCTGGAGGTCAGCACGTGGATCGCTTTGCATAATTGACGCACAAATCGACCGCGCGGTGAGGAGTGAGGCGGGTCGGCGGATGGACGCCAGTGCGCTGACGCCGGGGACCATCACGGGCCATCACGGGACGGCCGTCTGTGCCGCTCCCACGGCACGACCTGTCCCTCGCATCCCAGCCACGGCCGTTCCCCCAGTGGCCGCCGTTCCAGCCGGCCACGGCCCCAGCGGCAAGGGCCGCGATACCCCATACGCTGAACCGAGCAGCAGAACAGCGGACACCAAAGCCAGGCACACTCACTCACCGGCACCGGGCTATCGCCACGAGTGAACAGCTGTCACGAAAATATCGGGCTGATGCGCTTTAAATGCCCCTCCGGGCGCTGGTCGAGCTTCCAGAAGACGAGTCAACACACAGCCAAACCGGTCTACATTCCAAATGCGTTTGTATTCAGAACACATGACCGCGTCTTTTTAAGCCCATTACCGTACAACACACCTGGGAGGTGTTCACTGACGCTACGCCTTGCCGCTCCTGATCCAGGAGTAGGTCTGTCAATAAATCAGTCCTCCTGTCCACAGTGGTCGCCGGGGACGTACAACGGGCTCGGCGTCAGACGAGCGGAGGTGCGCCCGCCGGCGGCCCCGGCGCCGCGTCCCCGCTCCCGTGTGTGGGGACTGCACAAGCGCGCGCCTACGCCATCCACTCAGCCACAACATGCGGCGTCCAGTCCCGACAGTCGGATCCCACCAGCGCTGATGGAGCACGGAGGGGGACGGAGACGGGATTGAGGGGGAGGGGCATCGGCAGACGCACTGGCCGCTGCCGCCGCCGCCGCCCACTGGCTCGCGCAGCGTGCACCATGGGACGCGGCACAGAGCAGCGCAGCCCAACTCCCACGAGAGGGAGGCCATGCAGCGGGCCGCTCAGCCGGGATACCTCAGATTCGGCCGCGTGGCGATTAAGCGTCACAGCTTGTCGCTCGGGTCAGAAAATGATCGTATTTGTGTGTCACGTCCCTGGAAAATTGTCTACAGCAATATCGCAGAAAAGTATTAGCAAACTTCGACGTTCACAAACAGAAGACTGGCAGACATGCTTGCATAAGCATAGCGTGTCACAAAAACCTTCATGGACCACAATCCTGTACAGGATGAAACACAGCACGAAGGCTGTTCACAGTTCTGGGAAAAGAGAGCCGGCTTTACCAAAGACCCAGCAACCTCCATGCAACGCGAGTATTTTGTTTATGGCCAGTGCCCGGTTGACACGGCAGCCAGGCAGACCGAGACCACGGAGGGCGCGCGCTCCTCAGTCATCCGTCGCCTCCGACCGGGCTGATGCCCCCCGGTGACAACAAGAGGAACACACACGCCGGCCGACAGCGTGACTCAGACCCGGCGTTCCGACCGTCGACCTATGACATCACAGGACGTGCCGACGCCCCAGCCTGGGACGCCGCCTGCCAGAGCGCACGGTGTCTGAGGGGCGACGCCAACACGGAAACGCTGCCGCCGACCACAACTATGCAAAACGTGATGCGATAAAAAAGAGTGGGCCAAGTGGGCCATTTTTTCGTCAGAAAACTGCATTAACGGTGGACGAAGAAGATTAACGAGTTCCGGACTGCTTTTTGATGACAGTTACGTGACATCTGAAGCTGGTGGGTTGATAAATGTGCAGGCCCGACGCTGAAGTTAGACACACTTTTAAAAGCCAGAATTTAAATCACCACATTCCGACGCGACAAAATGTTCTTGGCATATGTATCCCATAGTGTAACAGTTTATTATTTATTACAGCATCGCTTCACCTAACATGACTTTTATCACACGGAGCACTGCTCACCGAAGACCCGATTCTAACCGACCTGTGGGAATATCAGCATAAGACGGATCACAGTGTGGATGCTCGCGTCTGCCTTCATCCGTAAGAATTCTGTGGGCTTTGAATGAATCGTAATAACGGCCCGACCTGAGTGCATTAGCGATCACTCTAAGACAGTGGACGCTTCAGACCCCTCCCTCCACAATAAGGTTTTTCCGGAATAAGCCCTGAAAAGCACTGAGCACGGCTTCTTTCTCGAGGAAATATTGGTGACATTTTGCCTAAAAGGACAACAATCATCTATTGCTATACACTCTAGGCGTCATAAACTGTTTTCTATTCATCTCAACGGCATGACTAACGCTTGCTTTCGAGAGGTCAGGTCATCCAGAGCCAGCCTAAGTCAAACTTCGGCCTGAGTGACTAAATTTTGTCTTTGTTAGGCGAGACGATTTAACCTCAGCAGCGCATGTAATACACTTTTGAAAGGTCCACCATTAACGTAGCTGTCAAGTTCTTAACATAGCCAGACGAGTCAATGCAACAATTGTCCTCACCTTTTTGAACTGACGGGACCATGACAGGTCACACCTGTCGATGTCCGCTAGTGCCCACCGGATGGGCAAGAGCTTTTCTTTTCAAGAGCTTTTTAACGCCATTCTTCGCGCAGTTGTAGCTTACTTCGGTCATGAGAGAACAATAGGGAGCTAACAAGTGCTCATTTGACTCATATGAACTGATTTAACGCATCACAGGTCACATCACACACACACACACACACACACACACATATATATATATATATATATATATATATATATATATATATATATATATTGCTAAAGTATATATAAGTATATATATATATAAGCTAAAGTTGTTCGGTCAAACTTATCTGGCACACTTTGATGGCAGCTTCCCAACGTCCTTTTCCCGTGACTCTAGGTTGGTTGACTTTAAAGTTCTAAGCAGGCCTTCTGAGAATCCCATGCACGGCGAATGGGCAAAAGCGTCCGAAGAGCAATGGTTGCAGAAACCGGAACAAGGCATTCTTTTAGTTAACAATACAGCAGAAGTTGCCGCATGTACTACTGATTCACCTGGCGTCTCCAGTGTCGCCACGTGTTTTTGCCTGCGCTGTAACAATGCTGCACGGTATTCGACCATAGCCTGAGCCATAGCCGGCGGCAGGTTCGCGCCATAAGTACTTCGTTGTCGCAGTGGCTTAGTCCATAACGTTACGACCCAAAGATGTGGTCACGTTCTGCCACTGCCACGTGGCAAACAGATGTGGGATGTCTTCAACGAGAATGCACAATAACGTCTCCAGCCTATTTTCTTCATTGTGCCGGCAAACCAACAAGCCGGTGAACAACACGGGTAAACACCACGGGTCGGCAGAGCGTGCGGGCCGGCTCGAGGCTCACCTTCCTGAAGAGACGCTGGCTGCCACCGCCCGCCGAGGACGGGTAGTAGATGTAGATGTTGTGGTCCTCGGCCGACACCGGCTTCTCCACGAACGGCTTGTTGAAGGTCACGGTGCCCACCTCCACCACGTCGTCGCTCTCCATGAAGTCCCGCTCCTCTGCGAGCGGGGCGGACGGACGCGTCAGCTGTGGCGTCCGACGCGAGGATATTGATGGGACCGGGGGTGATCGGAGCGGCATAATCCTCCGTTGACCAGCGCTCAAAACCGGGACGGATGGGGCTACCGGTGGATCACAGAGAGACCAGAGCCTGAGTAAACTCTGCTGGGTCACAGGCCGGGTAAAGGCCGGGTCATACGCAAAGTGGTCTAATACAAAGCCGCAAATGCAGCGACTTGTCGCCACCCACGCCCACGTACAAAGCCGCCCCAGCACCAATAAAGCCTCTTACGCCAATAGCCGCAGTTTCGATCGGACGCCCTCTCGAAGCCGAAAAACAGCCCCATTCCGTTGAGCTTGACCGCATCGTTAGTGCCGAACCGCCGACCAATATGCGGCTCCTGCCGTTGGCCCGCAGCTGCCCCGGACACCCGGCGCCGGCCGCCGGATGAATGGACGCGTCGGCGGCGGCCCGTTTGGCAGCGGCGCGTGCCGACGGCGGCCCGTTCTGATCGATCGGCACCCTGCCGCTGCAGCGCCACCGCCGAGCTGCGTCCGCTGCCCCGGCGCAGCCCCGACCCGCCACCCCCGGTGGTGCGGCCTCGCCTGGCCAAGCAGGCGCTGCAAAGGACGCGCAGCAGCCCCCGGAGATCGCGACCACCTCGCTAGCCGCCTGGGACGCAAGGTGTGTGTGTACGGGGGGGGGGGGGGGGGCGAGCGTTGAGGCCCTAAGAGCGGCAGTGACCCGGCCGGGCGCATCACCGACAGGCTCGCGGGGTGATGGACGTCGGCCGCCACCTTGCGTCAGGGCCGGGCCCGTCACCGATGACAGGAGGCGCGGCCCTGAGCGCAGGGTTTGTTGACTGACCGCCGGCGTCAGGCTCGGTCCGTCTGCCGCAGCCGGTGGACGGTCGCCGGCGAATGGCGCGGCTGCTGGCCCAAGAGTGGCTGACACTCAGCTGGCGGGTTAGCGGAGGTCGCGAGGCCAGCCACCGCCTCCTGCCCGCGTCAGCGGCATCCGAACCGGCTGAGGACTTTCTCCGCTGACAAAGCGAGGCGAGGCGGGGCGGGGGTAGGGAGGGGGCGGTCACGTGCGCCTGACCACCCTCCGACCCGCATGACGCCCGCCACCGTGTAGCGAGGGTGCTGCGGTGCGGCCCCACGCACGGCCGGCCGTCCCCGCTGAGCCGTCAGCAGCCGGTCAGCCGCCGCGCCTGCCACACGCCACAGCCATCCGCTCCCCAAACAGGAAACACAGCCAGCGGTCCTTAACGCGCGGAAACGCTCCGCTCGCGTGACCGCTATACGGACCGGCGCGACCGCAGGCCCGTGCCGTTCACGCCGGCGCGGCCGCAGCGGCGCGCCCGGCAGCCGGCCGCTCTGGTCGGCGGCCGGCGGCCGGCGACCCTGCCCGTCGCGCCGGCGTGGGGGCGGCCGACGCCACGTCACCGCGCCGTCCGGCCGCCGCCTCCGCAGGCCGGTCCCATACGCGGCGCCGGTGTCGGTAATGCGGTGCAAGTGGGCTGCGAAGGTCAAGAGACGATTCATGGGTGTTATTTACGTCGCGGACAGCGCTGGCACCGAGACGACGGAGCACAGCGCCGACCAGACTCGACGACGGCCGCTGACGCGCACCCTATGGGGCCAAAGCTGCGAGCGGGGTAAGCATCTTTACCGTCGGACGCATTCGTAATGACAAGGAACTGCTTGTCTTGTGCCGCGTAAGAAGAGTCGCATGACATATAAGTCCCCTTAACAGAACACTTGCCGCAGCCCTTTTGGTGAAGGGCGTCTCTGGCGTCGGGTTGTGGTGGCAGTGGTGACGAGCACACGACATGATCGTCGTCACCCGCCTCCAGCCTGCTATGCTCCCAAATTCTGTTCTATTCCGACATCCAAGCTGTTTACACTTGTCATTCTTGGGGTCCAGCAGATGATGAGGAGCACTGGTGAGTCATAACGGCGGTGGCACTACCCAGAAAAGGATTAAATCAGGACTTGCCGAAAAGCTTTCTTGAGTACGTTCCAAGCACGATTAATTATTCACTTCTCACCAAAAATGCGCTAAGTGAAACCCTTTCAGATTGCTCTAAGCACACTCCCAGGAATAGGAGCTTGCCTTTTATTACCCCGTGTAACAGTGGGGTGGTTTGGCAGAGATCGCGGAGAAAAACAGGGAAGGGCTCGAACATTCCAGTGAGATTGTTTTTTACCACGTTTTATGGCCCCTCCCGCAGACAGTGGGGATGTAATGAGGCAGCCACTTTTCGTCTGGTCCGCGTGCACCATCTCGTACACTCCGCGCTCGGCACCTCTGCTATGCGGCATACCCGCCCTGGCCAGGCGGTCACGGTTACTGCGGCACAGCCTACCCGGCGGGCGGGCGGCGGCGCGCTCTAAGGACGGCTCTCCCTGGGTGGCGAACACCAGCGACCTCCGGCGGCTTCCGGCGGACTCCGGCAGACTCCGGCGAACTCCGGCGGCCTCCAGCGAGCCCCAGCGACCTCCGGCGGCCTCCGGCGGACACCGGCAGACTCCGGTGAACTCCGGCGGCCTCCAGCGAGCCCCAGCGACCTCCGGCGGCTTCCGGCGGACTCCGGCAGACTCCGGTGAACTCCGGCGGCCTCCAGCGAACCCCAGCGACCTCCGGCGAACTTCGGTGACCTACGGTGGCCTCCGGCGGCCTCCGGCGGCCTCCGGTGAACTCCGGCGAGCTCCGACGGCCTCCGGCGAACCCCAGCGACCTTCGGCGGACTCAGGCGGACTCCGGCGGACTCCGGCATCCCCCGGCGAACTCCGGCGGCCTCCAGCGAGCCCCAGCGACCTCCGGCGAACTCCGGTGACCTTCGGTGACCTCCGGTGAACTCCGACGGCCTCCGGCGAACCCAAGCGACCTCCGGCGGACTCCGGCGAACTCCGGTGGCCTCCGGCGCGGACTCCGGCGACCTCCGGCGGCCCCCGGCGGACTCGGGCAAACTCCGACAGACTTCGGGCCGCGTCCGTCGCCGGTCTGGGCAACGCTGGCGGTGACGCAGCGGGGGAGGGGGGGGGGGGGGCGCAGCAGCGCGCCAGCTGCCAGCCCCGTATCCAGGTCAGTGCGCGGCAGGAGCCGACGGAGACACAAGCTGCCGCGGGACCTCGCCGCGTCCTTCCGGGCACAGCCCAGCGGTGTCGTCTGCCGGAGAGCCGCCCCGCACGCCACAGGCGGCCGGCCACGGCAGACCCCCACCCAAGCCCAGCCACGATGCGCCCGCCTCCCCTCCCGCAGGACGCCGAGCCGGCGGCACGTACCCACGAAGTCGGGCGCGTCCCGGTCGAGGATGGCGAACCGTGGCAGATCGATGCCCTCCCTCTCCAGCAGCCGGTACACCTTGCGGCGGTCCTGCGGAGCGACGAGACACGTCACCAGCAAGCAGTCACGGCAACAACCTGTGTGGCACACTCAGCGGACCGTGCGGACGGGCCAACACCGCCGGCGGTCGGCTGTTCCCGACGCGCACAGTGGAGCGTCCGCTAACGCGTCCGGTACACACTCCGGAGGGCGAGATCAGGCACGCTGCAGCTGATTGCTGCGATCCAGGCACGTAGTCACCCGCGTTCGGGTTACGAGGCCCCAGTGCGTGCGGACGAACGGTACCACATAACCCCGCGGTCTGCGACACGGACGAAGCCGCAGACGTCGCTGATAACAGAGGCCCCAGTGCAGACGGACGGACGGCACCACATAACCCCACGGTCTGCGACACAGACGAAGCAGCAGACGTCGCTGATAACAAACGTTTTGAAGACAAGCGTTCCACAGCCCAATGCCCGCAGGTCGTTGACGTTCAAAACAACTCTTATGATATCATGTCACGAGTATCGTCCAAGTTATACCGAGAAGTCCCGCGACAAACCACTGCATTCCTCGTGCGAGCGTGCGGCACAGCACCGTAATCAAGCAAATATACATCCTCTTCTGTAAACGTCACCGAGCTTTGGGCTATAGGGGATTGGGACCAGCCGGTGTGAATCCCTAGGGAGCTGCAGCCAGCCGCTGTGCCGGCGGAGGGCCCACCAGCCGACGGCCCGGCGCCCGCGGCGACGGCGGCCTTGCCGCGGTCCCGCCCCGATGGCCGAGTGACGGCGTCATTAGCCGTGCCCATCGGCCGGCCTGGCGCCGCGCCAGCCCGCGGCCGGCCGGCGCACCGCAGCCGGCGGCGGCCGGCGCCGAACGACCGCACGCACGCCATTCGGAGCCGGCGCCGCGCCCCTATATCGCGGCCGTGGCAGATGACCACTTTTTGCGGAGGGACCGCATGGCAACCGGCCCTCGCGGAACGATGGACACCGCTTATTTTTGTCCCGGTGATACACGGTCGGGCAACAGCAAAAACCGGCCAGCAGCAAGGGGCAGGCCGCCGGGCCGGGCCGGTCAGGGAGGGCCGGTCGGGGCGGGCCGGTCAGGGAGGGCCGGCCGGGGCGGGCCGCCCCGACCGTGCTGCCTCGCGCAGCGCTGACAGGTCTGCCGGTGATCTGAAGCCGCGCGCCGCCGGCCGCCGGCTGACCGGCCCGACAATCGGTCCAGGTGCGTGGACGTATCACGGCCACAAACACGCAGGCTTTACGCTGGAAACGGGATTGCCTCCGGGCGCCACGCGCGAGCGCGAGCGGGTGGCGCGCGCCGCAGCGCCCGTCCGAGAACACCCCGGGCCCTCCACGCAGCGGGCGGTACGCAGCGGTCCAGCCGTCGTGACTGCCTGAGTGTCAACCAGGCACACACCGCGGCCAGGACTGTCCGGACTGACGGGAGACGCCGCTCGTCCGGCAGCAGCACAAACAAACACCGGCCAACGTGTGGACGGCCCATCCACTCCGCGACGACGGCCCGTCGCTGGTGTCCGTCACTGGCCACAGCGTGGCGGCGGCCGTCGCAGCTCACCTGCAGCGCGTACTGCATGTTGAGGTTGTTGATGATGAACGGCTTCCGCAGCTGCGAGTACTGGATGGCCTTCTCCAGCGGGAAGCCCTTGGAGTGGAAGGAGATGAGGCAGTCGCAGAGCGGCCAGTTCTCCACCGGCTCCTGGAACGGCAGCGCATGGGCCTCCAGAGACAGCATCGGCAAGAGATGGCCATGGCCCAAGACATGACACGGCCCGAGCAGACGCGCCCGGACACCGTGCCGGCACAAGAAACATGGACCGGGCGGGGCCACGCCCGGAGACCGTGCCGGCACATGAGACATGGGCCGAGCAGGGACGCCCAGGGCCCATGCCGGCACATCAGGCATAGGCCGAGCAAGGACGTAAAGAGACCGTGTCGGCACATGCGGCATGGGCCGAGCAGGGACGTCAAGAGACCGTACCGGCATGTGAGTCATGGGCAGAGCAGGGTCGTGAGAGTATAGCGACACATGGGACATGAGCCGAGCAGGGACGTGAGACTGTAGCAGCACATGGGACATGGGCCGAGCAGGGACGTGAGACGGTAGCGGCACATGAGACATGGGCTGCCCCGCTCTACGCCTCGACGCGCTCGGGACACGCACCTCAAACAGGTTCTGGCAATAAAATAAAAACCCGCCTCAACGTGGTCAGGCCACTCGCTGAATGGAACCGGACCTGACGCGGCGCAGGAACACACGGCGACGGCGCAGAAACACGTGGCGGCAGGCGCACCCAGTGTCGGCAATGGCTCCGGCACCGCGGCACTGGCTGGTTATCGCTCACAAACCAATTAATCCGAAGGTGTTTGTGAGACTCACGGACATTGGTTTGACACATGGTTATGGGGCGTAGATTGGACTTGGGACTGAGGTGAAACACCATCCATTATTCGACATGACGGAACAACGGCGAACGATGAAATCTGCAACTTGCTGATGCAGTTATTGCAATTGCCAAGCGGCTCACAGACACGTGGAGTACAAACCCGAACAGTTTTCGCTAGAATTTGCGCAATTCACTGGAAGGATTGCTGCACAAGAGTAAGGGTTGCCCTGGTGTCCCTAATCAGCGTGGTCATATGGCGAAGTGCCCCTTCACTGAGGTTACCTGCAATGACACGGCTCATTGGTGGGAGGGGGAGGGATATTGGGGCATGACCCGCCGCCGTCAGAATCGCGGTCTTTTCACACGACACTAATACAGTTCCGCTATATAGTGATCAGGAATCCAAGCGGATATGTACGGCATACGCAGCTGAGATATGGTTCACTTCCACGTCAAGGGAAGCCATCATTGACAGCCCATTAATACGTTAAGATACTCGACCTATGAATACAAACTCTACCTCTAAATGGATGCGCTTTGCGTGTCTGTAGTCTGCCCATACTGCGAGGGCCTGTGAATTGGGCATGAAGTCGCCACTCTCTCCAAATTCGCCCTCCTCGTCCAAAATGCTTGTAGCCCCTGCCGTCGTAAAAGTCACGGCCCTGGCTGCCTGAATGCTCACAGAATGGGTTTGCACTCACGACACTCAGCATGCCGTGAGTAAGACGACAAAGATCACAGGGACACGCACTGACGAGACGACACAGATCTCAGGGACACGCACTGACTAGACGACACACATCTCAGGGGCACACACTGACGAGACGACACAGATCTCCGGGACACGCACTGACGAGACGACACAGATCTCAGGGACAAGCACTGACTAGACGACACGGATCTCAGGGACACGCACTGACTAGACAACACAGATCTCAGGGACACGCACTGACTAGACAACACAGATCTCAGGGACACGCACTGATGCAGGCAGCTGACTGACAGCAGAAGCACACCAGCGACCAATCGCCCGATGCAATGACCGTGTTTGACCGGTTTGTAATGCTTTCGAGGCTTTCTGGCGTGACAAATCCCTTTTGAATCAGCATTATGTGTATACCACATATTTCCGTACACACGCAATTCGCATGTGCGTACCAAAATGTGTGTATGTACATTTGTATTGAGAGTTGATATTGATGTTTAACTAGGATGTACGTGCATGAATTAATCGATGTGTTAACGAATGGATATCGTGCATGTTATGTATGAAGTAACGTTCATGGCAATTCATGTAAAAACAGCACGCAGGCACGCATGCATGTATGCTGCGTGCATCGCGCATGTACGCACACATGTTCCACTATGCACACGTGTTATGCATATATATATATATATATATATATATATATATATATATATATATATAAAACATACAATGTTTCCTTCTCGCGAACACCAGCCGCAGAGGCAGCCGTGTTTGGAGGCGGGAGCGGCGCAGCGAGCGCAGCAGCCACCAGCGCCCGGCCGGCCGCCGGCCGTGGCAGGCAGCAGGCAGCGCTGACCGACGAGCAGGCAGCGCTGAGAGCGGCGGCCGGTGCAAGGGCGCCACGGCCGCCGCTCAAGGCTGGCAGGTGGGGCCGTTCCCCGCCGAGCGGCGCCGCCGCCTGTCTCGGTCGTGCGGCCAGTCCGGCCGCCGCAGTGCCGTCGTGCGTTCCCGGCCTCGCCTAGCCACGCGCCCATTTCCAGAAGCCCCGCCTAGTCACGCGCCCACCTTCGGAAGCCCCGCCCAGCCACCAGCCCACGTTCAGAAGCCCCGCCCGGCCACGTGCCCACATTCAGGAGCCCCGCCCAGTCACGCGCCCACCTTCGGGAGCCCGGCCCAGTCATGCGCCCACCTTCCGGAACCCCGCCCAGTCACGCGTCCACCTTCCGAAGCCCCGCCTAGTCACGCGCCCACCTTCGGAAGCCCTGCCCAGCCACGAGCCCACGTTCAGAAGCCCCGCCCGGCCACGTGCCCACATTCAGGAGCCCCGCCCAGTCACGCGCCCACCTTCGGAAGTCCCGCCGAGCCACGCGCCCACCTTCCGGAGCCCGGCCAAGCCACGCGCCCACCTTCAGTAGCCCCACCCAGCCGCGCACCCACCTTCAGGATGACGTGCTCCGGGAAGATGAGACATTTGATGTACTCGAACTCCTCGAGCCGGGTCAGGATCTCCTTCATGGGCCGCGAACCCGACTTCTTTTCCATGGCGCAGATGCCGACCACCACCTGCGGATGGACAGGACCATTCAGACGATGACTAGCGCCGGTACAGGTCAGTACCAGCCCACACCAGGTCCCACCAGCAGTCGACAACGGGCCTCACCACCACCCTCCGGCGGGCGGAGAGCTCAGACTATGACTTGTGTCAGCGCGAGCGGCCCTAGCCAGGGAAGCGTCCATTGGGCGGGACCACCCCCGCGGAGGCACCCGGGAGGGCACACTGCCCGGAGCGGGACCACTCCCACCGGGGCATCTGGGAGGGTACGCTGTCCGGAGCAGGACCACTCGAGGATAAACTGCTCGGAACGGGACCACTCCCGACGAGGCGTCCGGGAGGACACACTGCCTCGAGCGGGACCACTCCCACCGGGGCGCCCGGGAGGACCGGCGGGGACGAGCGCCGGCGCCGACCTCGGCAGCGCCGGCCGCCGCCCACCCGTGACGTCGGCGTCCCCCTCTCCGACGCGAGAGTCGCGCGGATGAGCGGCGCCGCACGGCCGACGATACAGGCCGCCCCCCACGGCCCGTAGACGGCCTTGATAACGTGTCCGGCCCGGGCTGGTCTTGACGGAAGGGAGAGGCCGTCAGAGCCGCCGATGAGTGATGCAGATAACCCATCTGCGGCCCATATCGTTATCCCCACCCCGTGTGACGCCTCACTAGGGCTTACACCGGAGGATGCTCGTTTCAAGAACCGTCAGGTGGTAGCAAAGATTGTGAGTGCTGTGCGAGGTTACATTACAGCTCACACTGACGGCGTTTCGTGTTCAAGGGTTGCTTGGCGAGAGCACGTTTCGTGTGAATGCGGTGCTAGGTTACATTGGGGCTCACGCCGGACAAGTTTCGTCCTTCAGGGGCTGTCTGGTGACAGTATGTATTGTGAATGCGGTGCGAGGTTACATTGGGGCTCACACCGGACAAGTTTCGTCCTTCAGGGGCTGTCTGGTGACAGTATGTATTGTGAATGCGGTGCTAGGTTACACTGGGGCTCACGCCGGACAAGTTTCGTCCTTCAGGGGCTGTCTGGTGACAGTATGTATTGTGAATGCGGTGCTAGGTTACACTGGGGCTCACGCCGGACAAGTTTCGTCATTCGAGCGCGGTCTGGTGAGAGAACAGTTTCTGTTCTGTTCTGCGGCGAGCTGTCGCAGGCCGTCGCATGAATCGCAGCATAAAGTCTGCGAACTCAATGCCAAATACACCATGTCAATGCGACCACATCCATATCACATGTACGGTGGGGCCGTAAGCCCACATCACGAAGTCCACATCACTAAGTCTACATTACTAAGCCCGCATGACTAAGCCCACATCACTAAGTCCATATGACAAGTTCACATCACTAAGTCCGCATCACTAAGCCCACATCATAGGCCGGTCAAAGCCACCTCTGGGGCGGCCGTTGTGCGGCGCCTCCGCGGCGCGCCTCTACGCGTACCGCTGCCCGCGACCCGCAGTCGCGCTCACCTGCTTGCCTTCATCGTCGAACTCATCCGGTATGGAGTCCGCCTGCGGGCACCAGGTCAGAGGTCAGAGGTCAGAGGTCAGCATCACGGCCAGAGGGCGTGACACCGGCGCTGACACTACGTCACCGCACCGGCGCGTCATCTGACGCGCCATCAGTAACGGCCGACACGGAGGCAGCTGCCGCACAACGCGTGCACAGGGCGGGGTGCGGTCGGCAAACAAACTACTGCCACTCGGAAGCGGGATTACCGGCACGCCCCCCAACGACGCCTCGCTGGCAGTCCAGCCTGTGATCCGGACTTTGTTGACAAGGAAGAGAAGAGACGAAGTCCTGCTATCGACACATGGGACGTCGTATCTGAACTTGGTATGTACCTATGAGCTCGATCGGAAAACATCCGGCAGAATAAAGCGTCGACCCAGGCCTCTGTCATAGTGCTCAAACAAACACGTGCCGATAGTCGAGAGCCCTGAAGACGGCCAGCCAAGCAAACACCACGACAAATATGCTGCTTGAGATTAATGGGGACCACAGGTCATTCGGTGTCGGGCAGCACCGTGGACACAGCTGAGCTAAGGCCAGACTCTGGCAACTCACGGCAAGATGGGCAGAAGTGAAACACAGCAACACACACGGCACAGGAGCTCCTCGAGAGCCTCTACACGGGTCCGGATGCGGTTACAGCGGAGGGCCTGCGGACCAGGCAGGCCACACATGCGCGGTACAGAAGCCGCATGCCACGCGCCGCAACCCCAGCAGCGCCCGGCGCCGGGAGGCTGTTAGAGGCACGACCGCCGGGGCCCGGCGCCGGGAGGCTGTTAGAGGCACGACTGCCGGGGCCCAGCGCCGAACGGGTGTTAGAGGCACGAACCGGGGCCCAGCGCCGGAAGCTGTAGAGGCACGACCGCCGGGCCCGGCGCCGGGCGGTGTTAGAGCGCGCACCAGCGTCATGCAGAGCGGGCGGCCCTGACGCCCCACACCGGCCAGGCCAACAAGGCTCGGCGCCGGGCGAGCCACCACGTGACACGTGCCGCCGGCGGGCGGCCGCTCGGCCCGGCCAGACGTCACGCTGTCACGTGCCGGCGCGGTCGGCCTGGGCGTGGCGGCCAAGGTCGGCGCGCCGCTCGACAGGTGCGCGGCAGACGCAGCCGCCCGGACGGGAATGTGACCGCATCAGGTGACGTGCCGGACGGGAATGTGACGGGGTCACGTGACGCGCCCACCTTCCCGGCGGCGGTGCTCGCGGCACAAATGCCGGAGATGGCGCGACACCGGAACTGACGCACGCACAAGCCATGAGGGGAACAAGGCCGCGAGGCCTCCGTCTCCTTGGGGCACTTCGAAGAATCGCTCGACCACTCAGTCACTACCTGCACCTGGGCGATTCGGGGGAAATGGCTCCATCAGCCGACATCATGTATAAGTTACAGCCTGGCGAGACGCGCGTATGTCATAGGCACCCGTCAAAAGACCGCCTTTCAGAATAAAACCGCCTTTGCAACTCATTGCTAGGTTGCTTATACAACCATCACGGACCAGGGCCAAGGAGGGAAGAGGGCCACTCTGCCCTTGAACACGGAAAATGACACCAACCCACCGCTTTTAAAAAATCATAGGGCGCTATACTGAAGCCCCATAGGGTGCTGCTACGCTGGACGAAACGTCGCCGGCAAGACCGATGATGTGTTGGATTTTAACAGCGAGTGCTCCAGCTGCTGAGGTTATGTTACCCCAGATCTTGACAATCAACAACAGAGGACCCGAATAGACTGCACACCCAGTCTCTATCATCGAGCTGACGGAAGTTTGCAACAAACAATTGTACACACATCCTAACCACCGAGCTCTTAAAAGTTTGGGCGCCGCGTGAAATGCGGCCATGTTTAGTGCCAGCCGGTGCCGGCTTTCACTCCTCGAAAGTGTGAAATAACTTACAACGATCGCGATTCTAACTCACTCTCTCGCCGTCAATGGCGGCGCATAAAACACTGGTGAAGATGAACTCACACATGTGAGGGTTCGATGATGATGACTGGTATTATAGAGCGCGTCGACTACTGAGGCCATTTCGCACTCTACTCACATCTTAACTGTACGGCGATTTTAGGGTGTGATAATATGGAGAGCTCCGTAACATATCGTATCGTAATATCTTTGCGTAACTTAACGCAAAGTCGTCGACCACTCCCGGGGTTAGAAATTCTCGCAGTGCCCCGACCCATCCTCTAGGTGTGTTTATGCGTTGGACAGTTGAACAGCGGGACAATCAGCCTGGGTCGCCAGAGACACGGGTTCGGCGCAACTCAGCGTGGAACTTTACCACCCGCCGACAGCGCTGACACCAGAGCTGACCACAGCTCTACTGGCTGACACCGGAGCTGACCCCAACTCCACTGGTTGACACCGGAGCCGATCACAGCGCCATTGGCTGACACCGGAGCTGACCACAGTTCCACCGGTTAACATCGGAGCTGCCCAAGCCGCGGCCATTCGGCAAATGCCGACGATAGTGACGAAGGCAGACCAGAGGGAGCAGTTTGTCGCAGGAGGGGGGGGGGGGGGGGGCAGAGGAGCAGCCCTTGCCCCTTCCCCTCTCTTAGCCCCGAATTTTGTTTAGTTTTGCCACTAGATGGCTTGCGACAGAAAGTTAATTAGTGTATACTTTACATCGAACCAGGCGTGTGGTTTTGTAAAATTTGTTGGGCGCTGAGCCCGGAAAGATGACCAGGCATGAGCAAAAAAATGCCACACAACGACTTTCTTCTCATCTTGTTCCTATTTGTCTTCTCTTCCCTCTCCCTCCCCACTCCCACCCATACCCTCCCTTTCGGCTGAATAGTAGTTCACACCCTTGGATTGGGCGATACAGTGAGATTGATCGCCACTGACCAGATGGATACGAACGAGTAATATTTGAGACTTTCTTCGGACTTCCGACGAGTTCCCACTGAGCTCCGGGACCACCGCCCGCTCAGGACCACCCTGGCTGCCTGCCCGCGCAGTGGGCGGATAGAGCGTGCTGTGTGTTGCGCCCCACGGACTGGCCACACGACGTGCCGGTAATTGGCCGAGTCGAGTGCGCAATCGATGCCAGTCGGCGCCGCGCCGCGGCCCGCCAGCTCGGACGGAAACGCCGAAAGGAATGAGGTAATGAGGAAATGTCCATGATCGAACGACCCCCTCCCCTTCCCCAGCAGAGCGGCAGCACCAGCGGAGGACGGTGCTGGTGTGCCGGTCACTGCGCCGGACCGTGGACGGCCGTGGACGGGACTAGCCGCGTGAACACGCACGGACTGGCCAGTCATGGGCTGGCCAGCCCCGCGGCGCAGCATCAGCCGGCCGACGATAGCGCAGCGATCAGATCCAGCCACACTGTAAGGGATTTCCAGACTACGTAAGCTTTTTCGTGAGATCCGGGTCATAAAAGGGAACAAGTCCAGAATTACCGACCTTGTCATGTTTTTTTTCGCGTCCCACTCTCTGTTCCCAGTCTGTCCCGATAGATGAGCTAGTCAGCGAATCCGCCTTCCACTTCACCCACCCGTGGCGGAGTGGATTCAAGTCGACATAGACGCTCGCTATTTGCCCTTAACTGGAATGGCTTGCGGCCGCGCTGAGGGGCAGGCGCCGTCTGAGGGTAGGCCGGACCGTGTCGAGCATCGGCACGTGAATCTTTCGCTGCAAAATTCGGTGGTTGATTCGGAATGCACGGCCGGATGGTGGAGTTCGGGTTCATGCAGCAGCCCTGTGTTGAGCGCGGGCGCTGATCCCAGAAATCCGTATTTACAAACGATTTGGAGTTCGTCTTGAGCCCGCATATCGTGCCGCCCTGGTGGTATCGATGTGAAGGAGGACGCATCAGATATCTCCCTAGTGAAAACCAGCCTGCCTGTTAAGTTCATCGACGTCGAAGTGCTAGAAGCAGAAAATCCTTCGACATCATGAGGAATGAATGGTGTGAGGTGGGTACCAAAGCTCCATCCTGTTTTCATCTTTCTTGGACCTCTTCAAACTCCGCAGTACTCATTCAAAAATGCCGCTGGTAGGCAACTGGGACGTTTACGTAAGGTTCCTCCACGTGAGTACGGACTTCCCCGCAGCGTTCGCAGCTGATTATGCGTCAAGATTTTCCGAGTTCGAATCAACGTTTTGAGGGTTCGACGATTCGCAAGATTAAAATGAATTCGAGCACATTTGAATCCTGCGAATCCGCATCCTCCTTCGCTCTGCTACGCGCTGTATATTTAAATTGAACCCTGCTGCTGTCTAAAGCAGCAGACAACCAATAAGCAAACAACTTTGTTTGTCTTCGTAATCACATCAATCCCGGAAATTACACGAAAATAGATGCCACAAAAACCGAACACGCACCCAATCTCCCCGAGATTTACTGAATGATCCCCTTTTATATGGCACGGGCTTTAACGATACGGACGGGCGCAAATGACCATTACAGTTGACGCACACCTGAAACACAATAACTGGCAGATAACGGACATCAGAGAACCGGCGGCGGACGAGCCCGACCGGCGTCGGTGGCCGCGGGCGACGGTGTCTGGAGGCGGCGGACGACCCCGACCGGCGTCGGTGGCCGCGGGCGACGGTGTCTGGAGGCGGCGGACGACCCCGACCGGCGTCGGTCGCCGCGGGCGACGGTGTCTGGAGGCGGCTGACGAGCCCGACAGGCGTCGGTCGCCGTGAGCAACGGTGTCTGGAGGCGGCGGACGACCCCGACCGGCGTCGGTCGCCGCGGGCGACGGTGTTTGGAGGCGGCGGACGAGCCTAGCGCAGCCGGCAGCAAAGCACGTCGACGCTGACCGGCCAGGACACCTATCAAAGCTGGCCACCACGGCTGGCCAGGAGCGGCACTGCGTCCCTGTGAGCGATCGCAGCTGAAGCTACACAGATGCCCGCGCAGCGCAACCTGGCCTTGATCTCCGCCGACCAAAACAACGTTAGCTGGGGCCTGCCCGTCGCCGTACGACCACCAGTGGCCTGAAATTAGCTTCTGTGTTCCGCTCTACGCCAGCAAACGAGTGCGATTCCGTCGTCTGCAATATCTCGCACGAGGATCGGAGCTTCCGGCACATGGGGAGGTAATTTATCGACTCCCGTAGCTGCTACTGTCATGAGCGGTTTCAGCGACGAAACGCCACCATCAACCGAAGCCTTTTGTCTCCGCAACCAGCGCACAGCCCAGCCTAGCTCCAGCCGCAGCGCGTCCCAGCCCGCGGCGGCTCCTGCGGATGGCCGCCGTCACCGAGCGCCGACGGTCCGGCCGACAAAGGGCCCCCGCCCCCCGCCCCCACTCCCCGGCCGCCCGGTCTTACTCTGCGGTAAATACTGGTCCAGTCCGTCCAGTGGTCGCCGTCGCCGTGCTGGTAGCCGAGCACGTGGTTATCCTTGCACAGAGCGCAGAAGAGGCGCACCATATCCATGTAGCCGACAGCCAGTGGGTGTCGGCTGCCGCCGTCCCAGGCCGGGCTGTCGGCGCGGCCGCGCATGGCGCCCCCGCCCCTCGGCCCCACCTATCGACCTGCCGCTCGCGCACTGTCGGGCCGCACTGCCGCTCACTGCTCCGGTTAGCTGGCACGGCGCGCGCGTCCGACGATGCCCGCCGCACATCGACCAATGCGCCCCGGCGGCGGCGGCGGCGACGGCGGCGTCCACAGGTGGCGCCACCGGCGGCGCAGCCGGGTGGCACCGGACGCGGCCGGCGGGCACCGGCGCCCGCCAGCGTGGCGCTCGGGTCCGCCGACTGAAGCCGTCCGACGGCCACCGAGTGCTCAGGCTCGCGCCCGCTTCCGGAAAGCCGGGGAGATGGACAGGGCACCCGAGATGAGAGGAAGCACGGAAAGGGCACTGCAAGTCACCAAATACAACCGCCGTCGATAGACGCATTAGCGGAACGAGAAACACACTGACAACTTCACCGCCGAAAGTGTTCCGAAGCGTCTAGGCCCCTACTGCTCTAAGCAGTAGAAATGGGCTATGGAACGCAAGCGGAAAATCGGTCGGAGAAAAACGAACCGCCATCCAACCCTACAGTCGGTCTACTACGCATCTGCTGATTCCCTAGCCCTCGTTAACGAACAGACCACGCGGTTTGGGGCCATTATACAGGTAGCGGTGAAAAAGTTTCTGAGAACAAAATGGTAACTACTTCCCCAACACCTGTGAGAAGCGAGCTCCCATAGACTGAGGCGATCTTGCCAATGCCCAGCATTGGGCAGGCGCCGACAACTCACAAATCTGCACGTAACATCTTCATTTCAGCCGTCTGGTCCCAGTCAGAATGATGTTTCGTATTTGTAGATCGCAACACAACTGACAACGGTGTATAGTTTAAGCCATTGATGGAATGGGATAGTGATGAGCTACTGAGCTCTCTGAACTGCAGTTCTCGTGCTCCCTCCCCCTTTTCCTCCCGGAACGAGCCATGACGTCACAGGAGAGCTATCGTCAGGTGGATATTCGTAAAGGAGCTATTCGTAAACAAATGTTCGGACGCAATGTTTGCGACCGCTAATGCTCGTCGACACTAATTTGTTCGTTACGCTATCGCTCAAGCACGTAAATGCTCGTCTACACTATTGTTCGTACAGCAGGTGTTCGCAGGGGTGGATATTCGAATCGCAGATGTTCGCAACCAGAAAGGTGTGACATGGAATGATGCAGGGACGCTCCAGAAAACCGTGCGAGTGAAAACAAGGTGATGCCACCTATGTGCCTCGTATGACACCGCTGCCGGTCACATGTGTACTGAGTTCCGTACAGTCGTGTGATTGTAATGCGCAGTGGCACTCCCTCTCCCTCCTCTCTCCCTCTCCCTCTCCCTCTTCTCCCTCTCCCTCTCCCTCTCCCTCTCCCCTCTCCCCTCTCTCCCTCTCCCTCTCCCTCTCCCTCTCCCTCCCTCTCCCTCTTCCTCTCCCTCTCCCCTCTCCCTCCTCCCTCTCCCTCTCCCTCTCCCTCTCCTCGTCCCTCTCCCTCTCCCTCTCCCTCTCCCTCTCCCTCTCTCCCTCTCCCTCTCCCTCTCCTCCCTCTCCCTCTCCCTCTCCCTCTCCCTCTCCCTCTCCCTCTCCCTCTCCCTCTCCCTCTCCCTCCTTCCTCTCCCTCTCCCTCTCCCTCTCCCTCTCCCCTCTCTCTCTCTCTCTCTCTCTCTCTCTCTCTCTCTCTCTCTCTCTCTCTCTCCTCAACGCTTATCACGTACGGAAATGCGTGGGAAGGCATACGGTCACACTTCAGGCCATCACAATTTTTTCTGATCCTCTTGACCACCGTCCGTGATACGAGATCATGAGGCAGCGATTGGAAACGGCCGAACAAAGCTGCGGCACCATGGACATGACGAGCCGCTGAACACCGTTTTGGATTGCCAAGGATTGAACCTGCAGATTGGCATTAGTCATTAGCCATCAAAAAGTCATTAGACGAGGCGGCTCCATCTGAGAGGGAGCAGCGCAGTGGCGACCAGGTAGTCCCAAGGCTTGAGACCCAAGACTCAAGATCCAAGACCCAAGGCTCAAGACCCAAGACCAACGACCCAAGACCCAAGACCCACGACCCAAAACCCACGATCCAAGACCCAAGACCCAGTACCCAGTACCCAAGACTCACGACCCAAGACCAACGACCCAAGACCCACGACCCAAGACCCAGTACCCAAGACCAAAGACTTGAGACCCAAGACCCAAGACCCAAGACCCCCGATTTAAGACCTAATATCCAAGACCCAAGACCCAGTACCCAAGACCCAAGGCCCAGAACCCCGATCCAGGACCTAAGGCCAAGGCCCAGGTCAGGGCCGTGCTGCCGGCCCGGCCGCCTGGCGGACGGCTCGGCCGAGCGGCGCAGCCACCTAACACAACACACTGTGCCTGTACACAACTGCACACCGTGCACTGTATGACGCGAAGCGTCAGACAGGTGCGAAGAGCTAACGGCACTGTTGTGACAACGATGCAATAAAATCCCCAGCTTGAGCAGGGTTAGTGGGGCCGAAAAGCAATCTGCGGACCATCATCATTACAGCTGACCTAGTTTGAGGGACACAAAAAACATCCTGGCATGTGGTCAAAGGCGTCCAACCTCCTTCCCTCATTGTCACTTCATCCTGGACCCATGAACGATCGATCCCCGATCCCTTTATCCGGTAGCTTGCCCCGGATAAAGGGACCAGCCACGATGCCGGATAAGGATGCATCAGCCATAAGTGGGCGCAAGTGACCCCTCCCCTGGCGGGAGCTCCGCCCGAACGCTCGCACATATCTCGCAGAAGGTCCCTGTGTGGAGAAAGTCCGGTAGTACAGGACCCCCAGATGCATGTCGTCTTGCCCGCAACTATCCACTCTCCTCCACCCCACAGCCCTGAAATTGTCATGACTGGCCAAAAGGATACAAATGCAAACCAAGCCAACACAAACCACAGAACACACCAAACACCGGCAACACGCTCCCACCGGCCAGCAGCAGGAACCCACGAACCCCCAGCCATGTGGAGCACCGACGGCAAGCCCATCTGTACCTTCACGGGACTGAGGTGGCTCCGAAAAGCTCCAACCAGCGGAGGCTCTGTATGGGGGCTTTGTCCCAGCCCTGTACAGGGGTTTAGTCCTAGCACTGTATGGGGGTTTGGTCCCAGCACTGTACGGGGGTTTGGTCCCAGCACTGTACGGGGGTTTAGTCCCAGCACTGTGCGGGGGTTTGGTCCCAGCACTGTACGGGGTTTGGTCCCAGCACTGTACGGGGGTTTGGTCCCAGCACTGTACGGGGTTTGGTCCCAGCACTGTACGGGGGGTTGGTCCCATCCGGATGTGCCGTGCGCTCATTGTTGCCAGACGAGAGGGCTCCAGAGGCCCAGCTGTCCCCGAAAGTAAACGTGTCATCGATCAATGTCATTGAACAGCGGTCCCAGTCCAGTGAGTTCCGGCCGCTCCTTTTGTCTTAAGAACAATGTAAACTACAGTTATACTGCGAGAAAGCGTCGTCGCATGCCCCTACGCTGCAAGGAGGTGTCGTCGCATGCTCCTTGGCACTCTGCACAATTTCCAGTAATTGTCCCACGCCTGGACATGTCAAACCAAATCACAAAAATCAAGTTTGGTATCCATGGGCTCCGTCACGCAACCTCAATCGCCGAACATGCTACTACACAAATGGCGTCTAATGGCTCTCGACGAGCTACAGCAGATGTCGCTTAATGTTACCTGTGTATATCAAATCAAGTCACTGACGTGAAACGCCATTCTCCAAAAAGTCTCAACCCGTTACATTTGGCCTGGCTCCGTCTTTGATGGCCTGGCCCAATAACTGCATTTTATAGCATTGCAATGCATGATCATGTGATAGGATTCAAGTGGGACATTCAAGGGCGAACTTTGCAAACATGTTCCGGCGTCAAGATTGAAGGATTGCCCAAAAATACACTGTGCCAGCAAATGGGAATCACAAGACAATCGTAAATGGCCACACGATCTACGAGTAGAAAGCATGCCAACTTTCGACGCGTGTGGCTCAAGGATAGTTTTCCGACGGGAGTTTAGAAGCGGAAGACGTCTGTTATCACTGGACAACGGTCCACTGACGGTCCGCTGTGAAGCCTCTGACCAGGCGATGTAGTTTCCAGTTCAGTTGGAGGAGGCTTTAGCTCCCCACCCAACTTTGAGTAAAAAGTGGGTAGAATCCGGGAGAAGCTTGTTTGTTGGCATCTTTGGGGAGCAGGTTGGATAACTTTTCACCGCTCAACCCCTTCCCACATCTTCCATCTCGTTTTGCGAACTACACCCCTGGTCTGAAACAAAAAAGTACGGGGACAATGGAAATAGAATGTCATAGTCATTACGGCATTCCACAGCAGGCATCGGTGGCGCGCCAGGCATTTGATGCGGTTGCAGATCTGCTTCATGCATCGACATCGGCTCACAAGCAGCCTGTGTTGACAGGTGCCCGATGCTGACGCATGCTGCACCATCTGTTGGAGTCATCCCTGCTAAATATAAGGCCACGGACGTGACCGTGCTGACCTTGTGACCCTCCGGAAAGAGCCGGTTCCGCCCCAGTGTCGTCAGCTGAACCGGGGAATACGTTCGATAGATGTGTGGTGCCGGTGACGTACGCGTGGTGTGGTGCCAGCTTGCGTGCCAGGCCCGTGATGCGGTGCCAGCCGGCGTGCCAAGCGCGTGGGCTCGACCTGCGTCTGCTCACTGAAGCCAGCGCTGGGCATGGGCGTCGCGATGCCTGTCGCACGCAGCACAAAAATAGCAGCGGGGCGCCTCCCGCGGCGTCGAAAAGGCGAGGCCAGAGCTGACGCAAGAGTTCTTCCACATTATGTAAATGAAGTCAAAAACTAGAGCCAGACACCTTGCGGAGGCGATACAAATAGGTGTGACCAAGGCGCTGGAACGTCTAACGTCCATGTGCATTCAACAGGCGGAACTTCACAGACTATTCTTTGGGCTAATTCCCGACCACTATTGTCTGAGAAACAGCCGGTGGAATCAAGACTGATCATTTCTGCGGAAGAAATCAATGAATTTCCCATGACTCACGATTTCGGCAGCAGTGACCAGATGGCCACAAAAAAACGCAAATATTTGAGGAGATATTGGTCAA